ATCAACAATTGTTCAGTCAGATATGAGCGTCTGACTAAACATTCGGCCGGATAACATATTAATTAAACATTCCGAATAGAAAGCCCTCGCCTATCTAAATGTTGTGTAAAAATAACCGAACCTTCACGGATGGGGCTCTAATGGCGGTGGGGTCGGCGAGTACGGACAAATAGCGGTCAGGTCTTACGCGAGACTTGCTAACACATCGCAATGAAAGTTCAGTTAACTAGTTCACAGTTTTTTCTAAGCAATTTCTTTATCTGAAGAAAGTTTTTTATGCAATTTGAAATGTTTAACAAACTGACGGTCCATAGGATGGGAAATCGTAAATGTGGACTATAGACAGCACCATGGGCTTTACAACATACATTAATAACAACCATAGTAATTACCGACCGCGTACGGGTAAACGCAGTGTAGGACAACTACTACCCACTAGATGGAGTGACGACTTGAAAACGTTAGCCAGTAGCTGCTACGTTTGGCAGGTGGGTTGGCAACCGCAGTTTGACTTTTAGTGATGTTTTAAGAAGGACACTGCTGTTCATTCCTTCGACCATAAGCTCCCTTAGTTGCCTTACGACACCCACGGGAAAGAAAGGGGTTGTCGAAACCTACACAACGAATTTCGTTATGTACTTTAAGCCATATACTTTACTATAATTATGTACTTTATATACCTGTACAGAGTTTACGAGTACTAAAACGATTATCCAAAATTTCCAAAAAAATACCTAAATTTATTTTTCGTCAAGAATTTAATTTTTTCAAAATTTCGCGAATAGAATGTTTTCTTGCCCAATATTGTAAAAAAATATGCAACGATCTGGCATTGCTTAATATAACCATCAAGTACAACTGTATGGTGGCAGAAACATTAAGGGAACAGAGAAAGTATACATACAGACGATATTGTACAAAGTAGTAGGTAGTAATAATGGTGAAAGGTGATAGGGACTGGAGGGCCTACCATGAAATGTTTTTCGAAATTGCGGAGCCAAACGAAACAGAAATTTGATGTTAAAATACATAATACATGCCGTTTGGAAATATTAAAAATGTTAAAATATTGTTCCTTTAGACTTTTATGATAGGATGCATGACGAACGAGATGTTAAACTCCATTTATTGGTCCGATTTTGGTATAAACAAAAACACGAAACTGAGTCCGAAATTTCGGAATTTCATATATAATATTGATTGCAGTTTAAAAATTAGTACCGAACGACAGATTAGTTTTATTGTTAAAAGTTTCATAAGTATACATTACATTTTAATTTAATAGTTACCCGTTTAACTTACATGTAATTTAGATCGAAAAATCTCGACTAGTTTTGGGACCATTTGGAATCTTTAAACTCTTTATTCGCATCGCATTCGAATCAAACCCGCTCAAGATTAAGGGTCCCAAATGGTCCCGAAACTAGTGGAGCTTTGTCGACCAAATTACACGTAAGTTAATCTGGTAGACAGACAAGTAGAATTAAAAATGACGGTGAATGAAAAACTAAGACTAACTAAACTATTTACTGAATCCTATTGTAAATACTTTGTAATTATTATGTCGATACTTATTTAAACAATGAATTTGATAAACATACATACATATATGAGGATATTTATAACAGAATACTATTTTAAATTACATTTTTTCACTTTCTTCTTTAATACTTAAGGGGCTTTTTAAAAAAATAATATATATAGAAGTTAACATAATGTAATTTATATATAAATATATATATACCTAGGTATGTTATTTACTTATACCATCCATTTGTTATCTACCTATGTATAATTAAATAAATAAATAAATGAAACGAAATTAAATTCATAAACAATATGTTACATTTGAATTTATTATTATTATTACACGGAACAAAACACACGGTGAGTAATTCCGTTTTGTAATCATTTTATGAAATTATTTGCAGTCGATGAAGCGGAAATCTTTCCCAATGTAAATAGCCCTTTTGAATGGAACCGGCGGTAATATCCGCTAACCGGATTTATCTGGATCGGGCCGGATCCGCCCGCTAAACATTAGAGATCCGTTCAACTTTTGAAATGCTATTCAAATGCAGCTATTTGCTCCGCACTTCGTACTGAGGCTAACTGTAGAGGATCGCTCAATGACCTAAATACGTTTATGATTCTGATATAGGTAATCTAGATAGGGTTGAAGTACTGGTACTTTATTGATGAATTTATTATCTCATTGCAAACTCTATTTTGTATACTGTGGCAACCATAGCACATATCGTCATAGCCGTAGAATACTGACGGATCTGACAAAGATTACATATAAAGATCCGTCAGTATTCTACGACTTTGACGATATAATGTTTATCTGCAACAATTTTAAATTTTTTCGCCGCACAATTACATTTTTGTTTCACCAAAGGTTGATTGGGAGAGAATGCTATATAGTATTAGGTTCGCCTTTTGTAACAGACATATTTTCTGTAATAAAAAAATAAATAAATGAAATAAAAATGATGGTGTATTTTCTTATTATCCGATTATGCTGTGTATTGGAATGCAGTACACATACGAACATTGTTACTTGTGGACATTGTTACTTTAACTCTACCGTCCAGTTTAGAAAGCAGACTCAAGTACTGTTAAAAACTAGGCTGTAACTATTACAAAATACTCAGATCCTCTAAATATTCAGCGTGCAACAGCAAGGTACCGCATGTGGTACGAGAAGGTAACCCTTTCAGTTTATTTTGTCCCATTATTTGAAAATCTTTGACCTGGCCATCAATTGTCAAGGTCAGTTTGGAAACCATTTAACAGACTTCAGTCCTAGGTCGCTCGCAGCAAGGAAATACGCATAGGTGGGGATTCTCCATGGGACTATCTTTGGACTGTATCTGCGGTGAAACACAAATCAAGGCCCACTTACTATATTATCTTGCCTGTCCTACCAACTACTCATTGCAGGATTTGATGGACGCCACAGAAAATGTAGTCCAAGCGGCCATGTTCTGGGTGGCAAACATCTAGTTAACTGTCTAAATTGGTTGATTGGCTAAAAAGAAAGTTGTTCATTGCAGGACTTGATGGACGCTACAGAAAATTTAGTCCAAGTGGCGAGTTTTGGGCTGCAAACTTTACTTTATTGTCCATCAATTTGCCAAAAAGAAGATTACAAAAGTAATCTGTCAAGACAAATTCTATTTCTAAATCTAGGATTTAACAGAAAAGGTATAGATATCCGAAACACAATCGTTCCCCAGGGAAAGAGACGGTGAGACAACAATGTGTTACGTCAAGTTGCGTTAGCGCAGTCATGTTTGATAAGGTTTACTTTACAGAATACATATGCATTATCGTCGAAATATTTATAAAGTGAACGATTCAATGAACAATCTGGGTGCAGCTACGACAGGGGTCATAGGTAGGCACTATCTCAGCTGTTATCAGCTAAATTCTCGGAAGAGGTCGCCAAATGCAACTGATGACGTTATTGCATAAGGGGACTTTCATTGATACGTATGTTATGAGATAAAATTTCTTTAACCGACTGCAAAAAAAGTGGTTCTTGATTCGGTTTTTTTTTTTGATGGGTGATAATGGTATGGTAACCCCGCGTGCGCTAACGGGATACGCTGCCGGAGCACCAGTGAAGGGTGATAGATGGGAATGAAAACAGGCCAGTTAGCCCATCATGATGAATTCATCAGGAATTAACCATGATAGTTTCCAGGGGGAACCGCGAGGAGGTTGACCTGCTTGGATATATTGCCAGCAATTGGAGTCTCAGTCTCCATTTCTAACAATCCCTTTCCCCCCTCTCGATTCGGTTGTATTTTTTTATGTTTGTTACCTTATAACTCCGTCAGTTTACAGATTCGTCTCGTAGAAATGTTATCAAAAATGGTTTAGTAGGTTAGTTTTTAAACCAAATTAATTTTGCTACAGTTTTAAAGAACACAATGTTATTTATTTAAATTTGTTTTTTTTAAATCCATTTCAGTTTCCTTCGGTGAGATTTTATAACATTTGTAAGTCCCTCCGTTACATCAGATTTGCCTGCGATATTTTAAATAAACTTTTATATGTCAACTAGCTGACCTGGCATATGTACATTACATATTACATACTTATTTTAAGCGACCGTTTTTTTTTTCATTTATTTTTTGACACAAACACTTTTTATGAAATTTATTATTTTTGAAAAATAAGATAAAATCGACGAGAGATTTTCTTTAGGTCTCCGTCTCTCTCCACTCTTTAATTGAGATGTGGTAAGATTTTACCAGTTCAATTAAATAGTTAATAAAAGTCACAGGTTATGTCAACTAATTTTGGTTTGGTGTGACAGTTATCTTGTTTACAAGTGACATCACCCGTGTCAGGCGATGATTAATATAGGTGGAGACAGATGGGTCAAAAATTATATAATGAAATTAAATCAATTTTTTTTACAATTATCAGCTTTGATAAAAAATTAAATTAAAGCTTCCCCTTTGGGAAGATTTACTAGTAGTTGCTACACTTGGCAGGCGGATTGGCAACCCCTGTAGTCCCGGTATAGAATAGGCCATCCCTTCCTTTCTCGTGGGTGTCGTTAAAGGCGACAAAGGGAGAATGAGGGATTGGCAGCAGTGGACTTTATAAAACATCACCAAAGCTTAACTGCAGTTGTTAACCTGCTTACCAAGCATGGCTACTGGCAACACCCCTCAATGGGGAGAGGCCTATATTCAGCAGTGGGCAGTAACGGCTGATATCGTCATTATTATCTTACTTTTTATCATAAAATTTATAGATGACGCGATTTACGACAGTGTATGCAAACTCAAAATAATATATATTCACTTTAGCCTTTAGTTTTTTTTTTATTTATTTATTTATTTTCGTCTTGGAAGAAGGATATTTTACAATATTAATCACTGTAATCTTCGTTCAAGTCTTGTTTTTCCGAGCGAAAACTTAATCTGTAAGACTTACCTTAATTAAACATCTGTCCGTAAAATAATTGAAAAGGATACATTCTGAGGTTGCCGCCCTTGTCTCCGACGGCGAGTAGCTTCTGTATGGGGTCCCATGCCAACGCCGTTGGTGAGAATGGAAAGCCATGGCGGAATGTCTGCAACAAACAAGGTTTGACTGTTATCATACATATACCTTGATATTATTATTTTTTTTATGAAAATAAACAAAAACAAATAGACGACCTCGCTGGTCTATCGGGTTAACACACTACTGGACAATACAAATATTTGTATTCATAAACATATCTGTTTATATAAGTCTGAATATTTTCTATATATATAGTGATATGTATGTATTTACACAATAATTCAAGATTATGTTCAACAAAAAGAAACCGACATCAATTGTGGGAAACCCAGTTATTTTAATGTAAATACTACAACTGAATCGATTTCGATAAAATTCCCATGGAACTAATTTGTAAATAAAAAAAATTAAGATAAAAAGACATTTTCTAAATCGATTTATATGACGTTATGAGTAAATAAATATATATAAAAAAATATATGCAACCGTATTAAGAACTCTCTTCTTTTTTGAAGTCGATCAAAAATGGCAAAAAGTTTCGACTAACTAACTAAACAATTGGACACGTCGCCCATCCTAGGGCGCTTATTGGCCCATGTTGTTAATGTAATATATTTAAAGGATATGCTTTCAGATCGATTCCATAGAATTTTTATGAAAATTAATTGAGTAGTTTAGTATTTCAAATCAAAATAATTAATTTTAACACAATAAATCGTGTTTTTTTTTTGTGGAACACACATCCCGTGGTATTTTTTATTTTATTTTAATTACTTATTTACTTGGTTACCACACGGAAAAGGAGTGCTAGCTATCGACATTTAAAATAACAACTGACGTCAACACGCACCGGTGAAAAGATAACAGAAAAACAAGTCAATTATGAATGTTTACTCTTAAAGAGTTTTTATGATTATAGAAATGGTTGAATGTGGAAAGTACCGTTAAATAAATTATTTTTTAAGACCAAATAAGAATTATTATTAGAAATGTGTACAATGAGAGACATGCACCATTATTACCTATCTACCAATGGAGAATAGTACAAAAGTTCTCTGCTTGGCTACCTCTGTCTCATTTGTGTTGCATGGTTGTGTTTCTTAAAACGCTTTTGATTTGAAGATTAAGATATTTAAATGAAATTGCAAAGTACAGTGGTATAAAACCTTAGCATTCAGGAATGGCAACGTATAAAGCATGGGTGATACAATATACTCTCTTATGTGTGGACATATGTATACATAGATATATGGTAGACATGAATACCCCATGGTATTCATGTCTATAGGCGATAGTTCTAACTTTCAATAATCAATCTATCTGCTTGTTTGCCAAAATTGCATAAAAAATAACAATTTAGAAGCAAAAGAAGGCTTCTTTATTTTACTTTCTGTATTTTGCAGAAGATAATGTATGAGCCAAACACTATGAAAATGATATTATGCCATTAACAAACACTAATAGAACAATTTCTTTTATTTTATTATTTCAGCTGTTAACTGACCACTGCTATACATAAGCCTTCTCCGTGAGGCGAGTGTTGCCAGTAGTTGCCACGCTTGGCAGGCGGATTGACAACGGTTAGGCTTTTAGAGATGTTTTAAAAGAGACGCTGCTGCCCATCCTTCCCTATCCCTTAGTCGACTTTTACGATACCCACGGTAATAGACCACCCAGTGGTAGCCTATTCTATATTATTATATTATATTAATATATATAAATATTTAACTTTTTTTTAAACATTCACACAATACTCAATCCAAATACCATTACTAACAAAATGTAAGATTTCGTTTCACAAAAAAATCGATTTTGACCGTATGAAAATATACATGGCAGAATTCTCAATTTAAGACTGCAAATTAGGCGTAGAATTTTAGAGGATTACATACGATTACGTAACGTACAGAGAAAATACCGTCGAATTGAAAATTTGTTCATTTTGTATTTTTTTTTTTTTTTTTTTTTTTTTTACAACACAGGGGGCAAACGAGCATGCGGCTCACCTGATGGTAAGTGACTACCGCCGCCCATGATCACCCACAACACCAGCGGCATTGCAGGTGTGCTGCCGGCCTTTTAAGGAATATACTCTTTTCTTGAAGGTTATGTTGTCGTATCGGTTCGGAAATACTGCTGCTGGAAGTTGATTCCAAAGAATGGTTGTGCGTGGAAGAAAGTGCCTTGAAAAACGCACGGTGGAAGACCGCCACTCGTCCAGATGATTGGGATGAAACTTTAGTTTGTGGCGGGTTGTACGGTGGTGAAAATCAGCAGCAGGTATCAATCCGAACAATTCCTCAGAACACTCCCCATGATAAATTCGGTAGAAGATGCACAGAGACGCAACATCTCTGCGCAGTTTCAATGGGTCAAGTCGGACAGTAAGGCGTTGACTATCGATAATTCGAGCCGCCCGACTTTGAATGCGGTCTAACGGAAGGAGTTGGTACTGTGGCGCTCCTGCCCACAGGTGAGAACAGTATTCCATATGCGGCCTGACTTGGGCTTTATATAATTTCAGGCGGTGTTCTGGCATGAAATATCGTCTCACCCTATTGAGCACTCCTAACTTTTTGGAAGCTATCTTAGCCTTCTCCTCCAGATGACCGCAAAACTGGACGTCGCAAGATATATCAACGCCCAGAATTCCTAGACTTGACTTTTTATCAAGGGAAGTGCCCTGAAAGTGAGGAGATACGACAAACGGCGTCTTTTTTGCGGTAAACGCGCAGACTTGTGTCTTTTTGGGGTTAAATTGGACAAGATTTTGTTCACCCCAGATCGAAACTTGATGGAGTGAAGTTTCGATTTCAGACACAAGTCTATTCCGGCACTCATCGGTATGTGCCCGCGAGATCTTTGCATGACCGGTATATAATGTATCTCCTGTACTGTCGTCCGCATAGCAATGAATATTACTTATCTGTAACATATCATTGATATGCAGAAGAAACAGAGTCGGAGATAGTACACAGCCTTGCGGGACACCAGCATTCAAAGGTTTTAAATCAGAGCATGCACCGTCGACTACGACCTTAATGCTACGTTCCTTGAGAAAACTGGCGACCCAAATGCACAGTCTCGCAGGCAACCCAAATGAAGGTAACTTTGAAAGCAGCGCTCTATGCCACACCCGATCAAAGGCCTTCGCAATATCCAGACTAACTGCTAAGGCCTCTCCCTTACTCTCGATTGCCACTGCCCATCGGTGTGTTAAGTAAGCTAAAAGATCACCGGCCGAACGTCCCTGTCGAAAGCCATACTGGCGATCACAGATCAGCCGGTGCTCTTCTAGGTACCGGAGCAGTTGACGGTTAATGATGGATTCCATAACCTTCGAGAATAAGGAAGTGATAGCTATGGGCCTATAGTTAGCTGGATCTGAGCGATCTCCCTTTTTAGGGATCGGATGCACCAGAGCAGTCTTCCAAAACTTTGGGACAATGCCCGATGAGTAGCTAAGCCGAAAAAGACGCGTAAGAACCGGAGCCAACTCTGGTGCGCACGTCCTAAGCACAATTGGAGGAATACCATCAGGCCCACTCGACTTATGGATTTCGAGGGAGAAAAGTGCTCTACGCACTGAGCTATGCGTGAATTTAATGTCAGGCATAGAGCTCCTACAACACGTGATGGTCGGTGGTGGTTTCTCCCCGTCATCCAATGTCGAGTTTGACGCAAAGATGGATCCAAGAAGATCGGCCTTTTCTTTAGCGTTCTGGGCCAACGAGTCATCCTCCCTGCGCAAAGGTGGAAAGGATGACTTACAGAAATTCCCTTGTGCAGCTTTGGCAAGAGACCAGAAAGCTCGAGTCCCAGAGGGCAAACTAGCCAGTCTCTTGCCAATTCTACTAATATGCTCTGACTTCGCTGTGGCTATAACTCTTTTGAAAGACCTAGAGGCAGAGTTATACTTCTTTTTAAGAGCACTGGTGTTAGGATCTCGCGACGCCACACCTTTAGCCCAGGTTAGGAAGCACTCCTGTTTCAGACGAGATGCTGTTCTACAGGAGGCTCCATACCAGGGCTGGGATTTCCCGCCGACGGGCACCACAGAGTTAGGAATAAATAATTCCATTCCCTGAAGCACCACATCAGCAATGGAATCGGCAATGGCGTCGGGATCATCCAGTGTGAAGCAAGTATTTGTTGAAAACATAATAAAACTATAAGGAGACTTTATACAAAAGTCGTTTGCTTGGGTACCTCTGTCCCATTCGTGTTTCTACCGTGAAGCAGTTTTGTTCGCTTGGCTGTGTTTCGGTTTGAAGGGTGGGATATGGCGTGAATTTACAGGGTACAGAGGAATAAGACCTTCGTTCTAAGGAATGGCAAAGCATGAGGGTTATTATGGGCGAAACGATATATTCTGTTATGTCCATGGTACTGCTCATGTTTATAGGCGACGGTTACCACTTTCCATCAGGTGGACAGTCAGCTTGTTTGTCATTCTAAGTTTCATAAAAATATCTCATCTTTCGATTATTGTTGAAAGTAGAGTTAAATTTTTCGTTTCGACTTTGCTGTCTCTCTGCCACTATTTTGACAACATTGTAACCGAGTTTAATCAATAAACACACGTTAATAATTATTAAAAAGCAAAACATGTCGGTGTGAAGAAAGACTAGATAAGAGAATGGATAAGGGACGAGATATCGAGAGTATAAAAGGCGGTACGGGCGGCCAGTTTTATTAGAGTAAAAGGTAGTGATGGTGGTCACAATGAGGTTGGTAGTGGCAGCGGTGCTGTTGGCCGCAGTGGCGGCTTCCGTCGTCCACGATGAGCTAAAGAATATTGTCATCACCAAGGAGCCTATGAGTAAGCGATTTATCTTCGCAATATTAGTAACAGACTTAGCACACTTAACACTTAGCGTGTACAGAACAGTGCCAAATGACCAGAATCATAGAAAACAAATTTTAATGTACTCGTATCTATTATTAGGGATTCACAAAAATATTTTCGAAAATGTAGTGTTAAAAAAAGGTAGTTGAAAATCTATTAATTGATAGTATATCTTTCGTGGTGTAAATGGAAACACATTCAGCCCGGATAGCAAAGGGATGTGGGTTCGAATCGCGTCGGATCGAGTCGTCGGAAGATATTTTTTTAAACTATTATTAATTTAGGTTTCTCAAATGCAGGATTACGGATTATATAAAACGCACGGGAGCATCGTTGACTAGTAGTGTACTATCTCGACAATAAACATATTTGGATCACATTACCTGCTTACCATCACTTTGACTAGTTTAGACCTTTTTTTTTTAATAATTTACGGCCTTATCTAAATTTATTATTAATTCATTTAAAATGTGAAAAATAATTTGAATTAAAAATGTCTCAACAATAATGAAAAAAAAAAATTAAAGAAGACGTTAATTTTTTTTATTCATTTAATATACGTATGAGTAATTTATTAATTAAATAGTTTGTATTACTTAATTGTATGTTGAAGTGCTGATGTTGATAGTAGAATGACGTTTTTGGCGCATTTAAAATTTACATGTTTGTAATAAGTTGCTAAACTAATCGCTGTATCTTTTGTTCAAGTGCAATAAAGAATATATATGTTTTTGTTTTGACTATATTACTTATAGTGTTAAAATAGGTACATGCGAAGAATGATTCTTTAGTTTGTTGATGTCATAGTACATATTGGCAAGCGATGTATGCATGTGTGAGTGTATTTACTTCACAATATTGTTGTGTAAGGACATTTTTACTTTTTTGTTGTCCTGGAACTGAAGTATGTGTCTCGTTTTCTACTAGAGGTCTGAATACGAATTGTTAAGTTCCAATTTCAAAATTGATAGATACGAGCACTATCTATACAACCCCTTTTTAACAGGGGGGGGGGGAGTTATTGTTAGCAATGGAGTTTGACAGCCCCAGTGCCTGTCCCCCTGGAAACAATCGTGAACAATTCTTGTTGAACTCGTCACGATGGGCTAACTGACCTACTTCATCCTCACCTATCTTCCTTCACTGGTGCCCCGCCGGTGTATACCGATAGCGCGGGTGGGGTTACTATTCCATTATCATCCATTAAAAAAAAACCCTTTTTAATAATTTAATAGGGATAAATTTCCAAAAATCCTTTTTATCTTGCAACTTTTACAAACAATCCATAAAGTATTTTTTTTTTATTTTAGAGATTTGCAACTATTAATCATTGAGGCCTTATTATTATAGTAAAATTTTGTAAAAACAACTTTTTTTTTAAATTTAATTAATGAACATTTGCTTGTTTTCAGAAAATATGGACATGAAGTCAAAGGAGATGTGCATATTGAAACTGATGAATCACATCCTGCAGCCCACGATGTACGAAGACGTGCGCGAGGTGGCGAAGGCGTGGGTCCTCGAGGAGAACGAAGACAAATACATGGTAAATATATAGTAACTAGCTTCCACCCGCGACCTCGTCTGTGTGACCGGGATAAAGAGAATCCTATGTCTTCCTTCATCCCAATTATTGTTATGTCAACGATACTGCTCATGTCTATAGGCGTCGGTTACCACTTTCCATCAGGTATAACACCTTAGTTCTCAGGAATGGCAACGCATGGGGGGTATCATGGACAAAACAGTATACTCTGTTATGTCCATGGTACTGCTCATGTCTATAGGCGACGGTTACCACTTTCCATCAGGTGGGCCGTCAGCTTGTTTGCCATTCTAAGTTGTATAAAAAAAAATAGTATGTGTATATCAAATTTCGTTATGACTGATTTAGTCGTTACAGTGTTAAGATGTAACACATAAACTCACTTTCTTATTTATAATACTAGCCATATGCCGCTGCTTCGTCCGCATGAAATGAAATCTGAACTGAATGTAAAGTATCCCATACGTAAATTTAAAATAATATAACCCTATTTGTGTACCAAACATTCAAATCCGTAGTTTTTGCGTAAAAGTTTTTATTAACAAACATCTATTCATATTAAAAAAAAAAAATTGTAGTGGTAAGTAGGTATATAATAATAAACTGCGTAACAACTGATTACAGGTTAAGATGCTAAATTATTACCTCTATTACCTCTTTGAAGAAGAGGTTCAAATCACATTTTCTTTCCCTTGAGTAATATTTTTTTTTGTATTTTTCTAATTGAACTGTCAAATCTTAAAATCATTAAACTAAATTTCTAATATAAGTAGTGTATTCATTTATTTTAACATTTATTATATGAGTAGGTAGGTATTGTATGTATTTATGTAATATTTTATTATATATTTTAATATTTTATTTAACTGTATATTTGTTTATGTATTAATAGTTGTAGCACTCCAGCTGCCCGCTAACGAAATGCTTTCTCACTGTACTGGGTTGACTGGAAGAGATCTCTGTCAGAGATAAGTCCATCCTTGCTCACAACATTTATAAATAGATTATTTTATATGTAACTTACAAGTGCAATAAAGAATATATATATATATATATATATATATATATATATATATATATATATATATATATATATATATATATATATATATAGTTAAAATCTTGAAATTACAATTTTCAGAAAATGGAAGCAGTGAAAGAATTCATCAATACATACAAAATGGGCATGCTGCCTCGCGGCGAGGTCTTCGTGCACATGGACCACAAGCACGTCGAAGAAGCGGTCAAGGTCTTCAAGCTGCTATACTTCGCGAATGACTTCGACGTCTTCCTGAAAACCGCTTGTTGGTTGCGCGAGCGCATCAACGGGGGCATGTTCGTCTATGCCTTGACAGCCGCCATTTTCCACAGATCTGACTGCAGCGGCATCAAAATCCCTGCCCCCTACGAGATCTACCCATATTTATTCGTCGACAGTAACATTTTGCACAAGGCATTCATGATGAAGATGAGCAAGGCAGCGATGGACCCCGTTATGAAGAATTACTACGGTATAAAAGTTAAAGATAATAGTATGGTGATCATTGATTGGAGGAAGGGTCTTCGTCACACGATGAGCGAGTTCGACCGCACATCCTATTTCACTGAGGATATCGACTTGAACACTTACTTGTACTATATGCACATGAGCTATCCCTATTGGATGAACGAAGACATGTATAGAGTGAACAAGGAACGTCGCGGTGAAGCAATGTGGTACGGTTACCAACAACTGCAAGCCAGGCTGAGATTGGAAAGACTGTCGCATCACATGTGCGATCTGAAGCCGTTGGACTTGGATGGAACCCTCGACGAGGGCTATTGGCCTAAAATCCTTTTGCACACCGGTGATGAGATGCCTGTACGCTACAACAAAATGAAACTTACGAACGAGAATAATATTAAATACCGGCTACTTCTTGAAGATAACAAGAGACTGATTCGAGATGGTATTAAAAAGGGACACATGGCAATGGTGAGTAATATTGATACATTTTGTAGTTTATTGTGAATTTTATGAGGTTATTAGAATTAACCGTGTGGTCATTCACAGGCCATAGGCCACCCCTTCCTATCCCGTGGTTGTCGCAAGAGGCCACTAAGGAAGGGCGACGGATAGGCAGCACCGTCCTTCCTAAAACATTTGTAAAGCCTGACTACGATTGCCAGTCCACCTGCCAAGCGTGGCAACTACTACCATAACCCCCCCAAGGGGTGGCTTATGTTCAGCAGTGAACAGTTAAAGGCTGATGTGATGATGATGATGATTAGAAGTTTAATATTATTGTTTACTCTTTCAGCACGACGGCACTACTGTCTCCCTTAAGAAACCAGATGATATTGAGAATCTTTGTCGAATTGTACTCGGCGGTTTCGTTTCTAAAGATGATCATAAAGGCAAATCGAGCATTTGGAGGAACTTGGCTAAAACTATGTTATCTTATGGCACATACAATATGGGCAAGTAAGTCGAGCGTTTAAAATTATTTATATCTTTATACCGTGAAGGTGGCACACAAGCATACAGCCCGCCTGATGGTAGACGGTCACTTATTTATTCGGCAATAGTACAAGATAGTGTTTGAATTATAGTTATTATAAAAATTCTTGAAATTCATCACCACACTGATAATACTCCAGAATAGAAAAGTGACCTTTTTTTATGCAACTTAGAAGGGCTTAATGAATAGAATCCTGTTTCGCTCATGATACCCCCCATATGTTGCTATTCCTGAGGACTCAGATATTATTTCTCTGTACCCTGTAAATTCACAGCCATATCCCACCCTTTAAACCGAAACACAGCCATGCAAATATAACTGCTTTACGGTAGAAACACGAATGGGACAGAGGCGTTCAAACAAACGACTTTAATAAAAAAAGTCTCCCTCTGGTAAAAATCATAATGATAATGCATAATAATATAATATAAATGAATATATAGATGCTCATACATACCTATGAATATATATATATATATATATATATATATATATATATATATATATATATCTCAAAGGAGGTGTATTTAGTAATTCCCTTCAGATATGCAATTTCGATACTGATATACAATGCAATATACACAGTTTCAGTACAACAAAGAACGTGAGACGCTTACCGAACTGTGTTTATCCGTAATTAATTTCGTGCACTCAAATCCATTGTTTCTATTCAATTAATAAAATATCTCTTGTCTAACAGATACACGTACATCCCGACCGCAGCTGATATGTACTCGACAGCGCTCCGTGACCCCGGAATGTGGAAGATGCTCAAACTTATCTCCGAATACTTTATCATGTTCAAGGAAATGCTACCAAAATACACTCGCGACGAATTAGACTTCCCGGGTGTGAAAATCGAGCAAGTGACCACTGACAAGCTCGTCACCTTCATGGATGAATACGACGTGGACATCACTAACGCAGTTTACCTCGACCACGATGAGATGCAGAAGCACCGCTCCGATATGATGTACGTGGCAAGGATGCACCGCCTCAACCACCAACCCTTCAAGATCACTATCGATGTTGCTTCCGACAAAGCCGTCGAATGCGTTGTGCGCGTGTTCCTCGGACCCAAACTAGACTGCATGGGCCGCTTCACAAGCGTAAACGACAAACGCAACGATATGGTGGAAATCGACAGCTTCCTATACAAACTGGAGACAGGCAAGAATACCATTGTGCGCGACTCACTTGAAATGAATAACGTCATTAAAGAGCGTCCGTGGAGCAGGAACAATTGGGCTATGGATCCAAGTGGAGGTCAGAAGGCACAGGATAACTGGTGGTACAAGTCTCGGATCGGCTTCCCTCACAGACTACTACTGCCAATGGGTTCGCACGGTGGAATGCCTTACCAGATGTTCGTGATTGTGACTCCAGTACGTGCCGGCATGTCTCTACCGTCTATCGATATGAACACTGCGAAGGAGCGGAAGGCTTGCCGCTGGACCGTTTGCATGGACACCATGCCCCTCGGGTTCCCATTCGACAGACCGATCGATGAGACTAATTTCTACACGAAAAACATGAAATTCCACGATGTGATGGTATATACTAAGGACTTGGCTATGTCCAACATGGTGAAGGACGTGGACATGTCCGAGATGGTGATGAAGCGGGACGACCTCACGTACCTCGACAAGGATATGCTGGTGAAGCGATCGTACAAGAGTGTGATGATGATGAGTGGCGACGACATGACTCATATGTAGTTGCATCGTAGTCCACTTGTCGTATACGCGTCTGTTATTTTAATCTGTTTTATTGATTAAGTACTAACCTAGCTGCTGAATGTGATTGAATAATAAATATTCAAATTTCTTTACAAACTTTCATTTTTATAATATTTATTTATAACTTTCTTGTACACATTGATAATACCAAAGGGAGACTTTGTACAAAAGTCGATTGCTTGGGTACCTCTGTCCCATTCGTGTTTCTACCGTGAAGCAGTTGTGTTTGCATGGCTGTGTTTCGGTTTCAAGGGTGGAAAATGGCAGTGAATTTACAGGGTACAGAGAAATAACACCTGAGTCCGCAGGAATGGCAACGCATGGGGGGTATCATAGGCGAAACAGTAATCTCTGTTATGTCCATGGTACTGCTCATGTCTATAGGCGACGTTTACTACTTTCCATCAGGTGGGCCGTCAACTTGTTTGCCATTCTAAGTTGTATAAAAAAATACATAAAAATATGACAGAGGTAAGTAAATGTACAAAGGCGAGCGTAACACTAAACGAGTTCTATTCCAGCATATAATATAATATTGGTATATTTAGAATTATTTTTCGCCATTTATTTTAATTTTTTTATTAAGAAAGCAAACAAAATTCATTGCGGAAGTTCATATTACAAAATTAATCAAACAAAATAATTCTAATTAAATAACCATTTCTTTTATGTTTCAACTATATTCCTAACTGGTAAAAAATTACTTGTCACTGTTATTATATAGGCCCTTGTATAAATCCTATTAATCATTTAGGAGCCATAGAAATATTATTATCAATTTTTATTTCAATACGAGACGAGATTACGAATGTTATTTTAGATAACAAATACCAGAAAAACTCAAAACTTGAGAAGAGCGAAGTCTCAAAAGGTTTCGAGATCAAAAGGACAAACGCCGCGGAATGTTTGAACGAACTTCATTGAATGGCCACTCATCCCTTTCAATTTGCGTCTCTGACGAAAAATTCATGAATATTTTATTGATTTCTTTATTGTATTAAACTTTTGTATAAATATAAAACTACAGCACAGTATACAGTCCAATATCTATATTATTATAAATATATAATAATAATAATAATAATAATAAACTCTTTATTGCGCACAGTAAAGATGTATACAAGGAGTATTTATACAGAACGTGCATATACAAAAGGCGGCCTTATCGCTTATATATGTATATCTTGTTAACATTTGTCATTTAAAAATTCATTAATATTGTAATAACATTTGTCACTTAATATATTTTTTTAATTTTTCCATGAACAAACTTATGTTTAAACATATTTGTATTGCTTTGGAATTTTATTGTAGACTTTTGGAGCCTTACACATAATACTTCTCTGCAGACATGTTGTTTTGGCTGGATGTATACATAAGTGATTCTATTTCCAATAACCCTATCAGATAATTGAGGAAATAAATGTGATGATCCGTACAAAAATTACAATAATGTATTTGGCCTATAAAAATTGAAGTAAAATTAATATTTTACAGTTAATATTTTTTTCTATCTATAATTTCTATCGTGCCTCCGATCAAACTGTTTATAATTACTCGTCTCCATCCAAAGGTTGCCTGGAAGAGATCGCTCTTAGCGATAAGGTCGCCCATTGTTTTCTCATTGTGATTATTTCTTGTAATTGTTTATATTTATAATAAGTTTACTATTGTAATCGTTTGGAGGAAACAATAAAGAGTATCTATCTATCTATTTACCAGAGGGAGACTTTGTACAAAAGTCGATTGCTTGGGTACCTCTGTCCCATTCGTGTTTCAACCGTGAAGCAGTTGTGTTTGCATAGCTGTGTTTCGGTTTGAAGGGTGGGATATGGCGTGAATTTACTGGGTACAGAGGAATAACACCTGAGTCCTCAGGAATGGCAACGCATGGGGGGTATCATGGGCGAAACAGTATACTTTGTTATGTCCATGGTACTGCTCATGTCTATAGGCGACGGTTACCACTTTCCATCAGGTGGGCCGTCAGCTTGTTTGCCATTCTAAGTTCTATAAAAAAAAAAAAAAAAAAAATATCTATTTATCTATCTTGTGCGTAGTCAGTGCTGGTCGCTAGTATAAAATAAAACTGTATAAAATATAATCAAAGTCTTAATCAAAGCGGAATGAAAAGCAAACATAAAGAAAGAATGCAGTTCGAGTCGCGCAGAAAACGTTTGCCGACATGCAGTTCAGATGGAAAATATTTTCATTAGCACATACCGAGTGCGCGCGCCCGGGGCTGAAACGGAACGCTTCCAGTAAATGGGTCGGATAGAGAGCCAATCGAAGTGTTCACATATTTTTAAAGTATCTTCATTGAACACAATTCAATGAGATAACATTCGCTCTGTAACAGCTATTACATTTATCTACATCTACACTAATATTATAAAGAGGAAAGATTTGTATTTTTGTGTGTATGTATGTTTGTAATGAATAAACTCAAAAACTACTCTGCCGGTTTCAAAAGTTCTATCACCATTAGAAAGCTACATTCACCCTGAGTAACATAGGCTATATTTATTGTTAGAAAAGATTAGGGATCCTTCCTAAAACTTTAGTAACGTAACTCAAGGTATAAAAAAAATGCTATAAAATATCTTTCGTGTGCGCTGCGGAAACTATTGGTGATAGAACAAAAGTATGTTCTACAATATAAATAAATAAATATAATAATATAAATAAATAAATAAATATTGAAGAAAATATCAATAACTATAAAAAACTTAGCGATACTATATGTCCAACTATAATCGTTATGTCACAATAACCACTTTTTAAAATATTGTAAAAATGTCCACCCGTGCGAAGCCGGGACGGGCCGCTAGTTATATATATATATATATATATATATATATATATATATATATATATTTGTATTGTATCAACGAGCACGTCGCAATCGCGGGATGCGTTAATTTAAACTAGTAGATACTGCACGCGGAAATCGCGGAATGCCCGATCAGAGGGTTAACTGTCCACCGTTGGACATAAGTCCCACTCATAACCCATATTAAAGTTGAATAAGGCGGATCCTCCATATTCATTTTTAAAAATAAAATTACAGTCCAGTATCGAAGCGAATAACTATTATAAGAGTTAGTATAAACTAATATTATAATAGAATCGAGTAAGAACTATTCTGTAGGTCGTTATATAATATAAAATATGTTACTTTTTTTAGCAAAAACTATTGAACGCATTTTAATAAAATTTAGTACACGCCTAGTACATAGAATACTTCATGTCTTGACGCACGCAGCTAAAGCCGCGGGATACAGCTAGTATTTTAATAAGAATTCGATTGGATTCTTAGATGTGCACATTTGTGCCTTATGGCGTGAGTAAAAAAAAACTTTTTAAAAACAAATACAAGTGAACACTTATCCTAATAAAACTGTCATTATCAGAACATTTTATTATGTCCCACAATTGAATACAGATCTTTCCGAGGAGGATGTCCTATCAAATAATTGATTTACGTGTACAAAAACCTTAATTTCCAGGGTACAGATCAGATGGTATCTCCTTGTAAAATCGTCCGCTCTAAGATTGCTTTCCGGTCGTGACGTACCGTCGCAAAGCAATAAGTATCCAGCATTGAGAACGAACTTGTATTCGTTCCACGTCGTATCTGAGGACATATCGACTAATTGCTGTATTTTATTTCTGGAATAGAGATACGGAATCTGTTATTGCTCGTAATTGATTGTCTCGGTGCGGGTAAAATTAAACTCACAAATAATGCCTGTACGAAACTAAAACATTTGATATAGCGACTAATCCAAATTCCTGATATAAATACTACTCCAACTAAATATCAACTAAATATAACAAAGAATACATATTATTACAAAATTAACACATTAATTTTTATAAAAAAACGTGTTATAACATACTCCAAGTTTATCGTTCCACGAACAGTAAAAATAATAAGAATATTTATTTATTTAACCTCTTTATTGCACCAAAAACATAAAAACAAACAATGACATATAAACTATTCAAGTGAAATACAGTGGCATGAAGTACAGATTAAAATCTAATATATAAAATTCTCGTGTCGCGGTGTTTGTTACCAAATTACTCTGAAACGACTTTACAGATTTTTATGAAATTTTTTGTGCATATCGGGTAGGTCTGAGAATCGGCCAACATCTATTTTTCATATCCCTCAATGATAAGAGTGACCTACACCTAAATATTTTTTTGACAAAATTTTTTATTTTTATTTTATTATGATTTAGCATTGAAAAATACATACAAATTCAAATTTTCACGCTTTTACGTTCAACCCCTGTTTTTTAATTTCGATTTTTCTATACCGCAATAGGGTTGCATGATAGCAATCGAATACAATAATTGTAGTAGGATAAATTTTCATGTATAGTTCTCGAAATTATGTATATGGTAAAATAACGTTTGCCGAGTCAGCTAGTATACATATAAAGGTACAAAAGGCGGTCTTATCGCTAGGGCTATCTCTTACAGACAACCAACAATAGACAGTTAAAATAATTTCATTTTTATTTAAAACAGCGAACAATTTTCATCAATTTATCCGAATAATAGACGGTACGTATTACCCTGCGTATAAAATGTACAGATGTCTGATTACGTTGGCGTAACATTAGTGGCGGACAATAAAAAAGTCGTATCAGGCCTTGGTGTATTATTCTCAAATCAACTTAAATGGCGGATTAATAATAACAACGCTGCAAACATAAAACGCACAATAGAAATAGGAGAAAAAAAAATACAACAGCGAGAACAACGGGCAACGTTTTTTTGCTGGGCGGACGACGGCGGACGTCCATTCGTTAGCACTTTTTTCTCTTGTTATGAAGCTCCATTCAGTTTCAATCGTGTTCCATCAGTTTCCAATTCACCCGTTTCATTTACTAACGCCGTTTAGGTGGGCTGCGTTCTCGTATTGTTCTTATAAAATTCATTATAGGATCGTTAACGATTTTCATTGAAATGCGAAACAAAGAGAAATGTCCGAACGCGAAGGTATCGTCTGACTAGTTTTTTTTTATTATACAACTTACGAGTAGAACGGCAAACAAGCTGACGGCCCACCTG